GTTTTGTTGGAGGAGCTCCAGCCAGCAGGGAGTGGTAGGAGGAGTGGAATTTCACTTCCTGTATTTTCTCAGGTGACTCACCTGAGAGGTGTCGTTGCTCTCCGGTATTTGTCGCCGTCATAGTTTCCGTTCTTAAAAGTTTCTGTAGAAACCGTCTGCTCGAACACCAGGAAGTCAAAGTTTTAGGTGCTTATAGGAAGTTAGGCGCACAGAGGAAGAAAGGTGTTTGTTTGTTTAACTCTAAACACATTTTCTTCTCTGGTCGACTTCATTTTGTGTGTAGGTGACGTCCGGATTTTATTTTGGAGAGGGGAAACCTTCAATGGACTTTAATCATGAATTTTTTAATTGAATCGGGAGCGTTTGCTTTCCTGCTCCTGCTGCTTCGTTCCGCCTCGGCTCAGGACAGCGGAGACGCCTGCTTTTCTCGGTTCCAAACGGGGAAGGACGACTTTGTTCTGGACACCGACGAGTCGGTGAAAGCCGGAGCCACGTTCCTGTCCGCGCCGAAAGTGGAGCGCACCAAGGACTGCGCCATGTCGTGCTGCAAGGACCCCCGGTGCAACGTCGCCCTGATGGAGAAAGGAGACGAGGACGGCCTCATCAAGTCCTGCTTCCTTTTCGACTGTCTGTACAAGAAGAAATACGCCTGCCGCTTCGTCAAAAAGAAAGGATACACCAATTTCATCTTAAACACACTTTACGCAAACCACATTCAGGAGCTGTCTCCAGGTAAAACTCCCAACTCCTTCAAAATAAAACACAAGCATTACCTGTGTGGTTTTCAACATTCGCCCCAAAAAGTAGTCCCTCCTTATTAATAATGTAATGTGTGTTTTTCAACTATTTTGAGTATTTTATATGGAAATTAAATTTTTTTGTGATTATTTGGGGCAACACTCCCAGTTTGTAGGTAAATTTATTATGTCGGCATTAATTGGAAATGTGCCAAGCGGTCAGTTCAACAACTAGTAAATTTATGCCTTTATACAGACCCGATTATTTGTTTGTTTATTTGAATTGATTCGTGTTAAACTTTCCTTTTACCTATTAACAGTCCATCGGTGGGCAAACTGTGTGGTTTGTGCCTTTTAAATGTTTCCTGATGTTTCCAGATTCTACCAGAGATGTTTATCTTATTTATTTTCATTTATTTAGTTAGTTTTTTTAAACCAGGCTGTAAGACGATTTCTTCCGGTTTGTACCTTTAGCCATTGTTGCCACGATTGAGAGATAGTATTTAGACAATAGCCTACATGGGAAGAAAATCCAACTTGTATCATTTAGTAAAGTAGTCAGTACCACCTAACATAATGTAATATTTTGARTATCTCATGGCTTGTTCAGTTCATCTCTGTGAGCTGATAATAAAATTCAAAGTGAACTGAGAGAATAAACAAAAAGCTGTAAATTGTGTTTCCTTGTTAAATGCATAAAACTAAAAATCATGTTTAAAAATAACATTGTCACAAATGACAAAGTTATAGTTTACAAGTAAAAACTTAAAATTGCACTTGCCCATAAAAAGTCCTGCTGTGCATTGACACTAACTCATCCAGTGTTTTCTCTGCCATAATTCCCAAAAAAAATCAGATTGAGGGGAAAAAATTGTGGTTGTAGCTGTCAAATTTAATAGCAGTGTGGGTTTGTTTTTTCTGAAAAACCCCTTACCCCTACCCTCATAAGTTGGCCCATTACTCTCTACAAAGAGACGCTGACCTTATAATTAAATCTTTGCGTCCCTTGGACGAAGGACACAGGTTAACACTCAGTGTTCTGAGCATCTCGGGATCCATAAAAGGTTCTCCAAGAATTCTTTTCCTTTTACTACTCAAGGCCAGGCATTGGCCTACGTAGTGCAAAGAGGTATCAATGCCACAGGCATCACACAGACCACTGTCATGGAGTCCCAGCCCCAGGCCAACATTGTAAATAAGAAACTGTTCTTCATGTTTTGCCTGTTGAAATAAAGGTTAAGTAAAAAAGTTAAATAAAATTTTGTGGCGGTTAAGCAAGTTGTGCCCAGTTAGGACTCCAACCAGTGTAATTAAAGTTTTCCTGGTCAGAGCAAAAAGGGCTTTTCCAAAACTAGGATTTGGGTCATTWATCAGTTCTCGTGCCTGTTTACAGTCTGTCAGCTCCMTCCAGYGGACTGAGTGTTGACGTCTGATCCRYGCCTGTWGKGCAGTCCYACAGACTGTTGTTGAGATACCTACAGGCTCTGGTCCTTTGAAGTCTGGRCCAGACTGCCAGCTTTTGCAAGGTAGTCAGCTCYCTAATTACCATTAATACCAGTATGTCCTGGTAYCCATTTAACAGTAACACTKTTATCTCTCCCCAGTTGGTTGATTGCTTTGGCACACTCCCAAGCCAGTAATGACGTAAAGTGTGGCCCTCTGAGAGCTTTAATAGCAGTTTGGCTATCTGTTAGGATGAATATTTCCTTCTTTGCACACTGAAGCTCTTTGAGAGATGCCACACACTGGTGGATTGCATCTCAGCTTGAGATACCTTTACATAACCACCTAGTGGTTATCTGTGTTCTCACTCACTGTGGTGGTGCCAAATCAGAATCCCAGAGCCTACTGACCCCTTTATAAGGGATCCGTCTGTAAAACAGTAGAAACAGTTGGGAGCCAGGTCCAGCATAGATGGTGATCGGATAAAWGGCTCTTTGAAGCGATCCGGATCTTGGGGAGCCGTTTGTTTCATAGAGCCGTTCGATTTTGAACGAGTTACATCATCACGTAGGGAAATATATCATCATGTATGGTGACGTGATGATGCCGTCATGTTACGTGGGTGGAACCATGTGTTTTGTCAAGCAGAAACCCCCCCTCCCCCTTTCCGTGAGCTTCTGTACTCCACTGCTCTGCCTGTTTTCCATGAAAAAGCAAAGCGGGAGCAATTTAAGGATGAAAAAGTAAAGATTATATGAGGAATAAAATAAATAAAACTACAAATGACTCTTTACTGCCCATGACTCGGCTCCTATCGTTCGTTGTAAAGATCCGTTCAAAAGATTTGGCTCGTTCGTGAATGTCACATCACTAATCATAGAGAAATTACTCCAGGCTGATCTATCTTCAATCTGACATGTCAAAGCGAACCTCGGTCTTAATGGTCACGTCGCATTTTTCAGACTTTTATGGCCTGTGATGTGGGTGTATACAGATCGATCCAAGTAATAATGATACTAAACCCGAGTCATGCAGGTTAAATCTTGTAGCTCCACACATCTTCAGCTACAGAACAGAAGYCTAATTGCTTTGTCTTTTTTCTTTTCATTTCCATGTCTTGGATGACTGAGAATCCATGGAAACACTTAACGGTAATAGTAACATTGTCAGACCATGTCGTTACTAAAGTTCTAGATCGAAGCTTTAGTTGGTTTCACTTCCAACACGTCATTGTAACTACACGTCTTCAGCTACAGAACAGAAGTCCAGTTACTTCATCCTTTTCTTTGAATTTTGAATGTCCTGGATCACTGAAGCCACAGAAACGTACGATAGTAACAGTGATACTAAAGTGGATTAATATTTTAGTTAGCTTTTCTTAGAGCATGTTGCATCACTCGTTCCATAAATACACACTTCACCGGAGGAGCTGACCAGAGACAGGTTAAATTGTAAAGCGTGAACTAAACAARCATTTCAGACTATTTAACCAACTCGGATTACACAACAACTTCAGGATTGACCTGCTATCAAGTAGCATCTGTAGCGACCGGTTTCCTCCTGTAAACATTGAGCTGAGTGTGACGTTGCGTCATTTTCTGCTCATTTGTGTCGCATCGACAGCATAAAGCGTTCATACTGGAGTCTAATGGAGGTTGCATTTAWAATGTAAACATCCTTGCTAAAATATTATTGGTTCTGGGTATCACGGCATTTTGAATGAGTACAAGTATCTGATATTGGGCCTGATATTTTATCGATGCATCCCTTCTTGTAAGGGGCATTTTTTTAAAATTAGGGATAAATGGCACAAAATAGAAATTTAACTTGGGAGTTTTAGTGGACTTAAAATGCTCAGAGTCTAATTTAGAGGAATATAATTGGTCTGTTAGCAGTTTCCAAAGTTAACCAAATAAAATAAATAAAAAACAATGCTAATCACGAGAAGCTATGTTATTAGCAGATTGGTGGAACTGCGCCTACCAGTGTTAGTCACAAAGCACACACAGAAAACCAGAGACATATACATCGGACATGTTCTCCAACTGTGGGTAATCTAATTATGTGGCTCTTAAATGTATAGTTGGGGCAAAAGGAATGAATATAAATGCACGCACTACTTCTTCTGATTTAAAGTTTTTAAAGCAGATTTTTTTTCATCTTTGAATTATTATGGTTGGGTCGTTACTTATAATCAAATTAGTAATCCAATTAACAAAGCTGTGTACTTGTTAATCAGTTTTATTTTACACAATTTAATAAAATCATTCACAGGAGAGAAAAAGAGAGAAAGTGAAAACATGACAACTAYGTGTTTAGATTTAAAATGTAACACGAACTGTAAAATTAGCGATTCATGAAATGATTGYTGACAACACTGTTTCTGCTCAGGAGCCACTTTCTGTTAAGGACATTGATGAGGACAAAGATGATGTTGGGAACAAGTATCTCATAATAATAATAATATTGTCAATTTTTGCCCATAACCATTATGAATTACAGCAAAAAAACAGCCGTAAATTGATAAAAACAATAGTTATGACCCACCTCCAAAAACAGCATCATTGTTTTTCCTGTGTGCGTCTCAGTGTGCTTGTCTGTGCTGTTGGCCAAATTTCTCATAAATCAATAAGCAGATTAAATTGAACTYCTCAGAATGTATCCACAGTTCTCAGAAACTATGTGCAGCTGATCAACGTTTGGTGTCATCCTGATTCAAGACGACAGTCACAACTAACTGATGACTTAAAAAAATGTCTATAACTCAAATGTTTTAACGTGGTGGAAGTTGAGCATCATCCCCTGTTACATGTGAATAAAACTCATAGAGATTATATAAGACAATTTATATATCTAATAGGATATCTACAAGGGATGCACGATATATCTGCATTCAAATAGGTATCGGCCAATATTTGTCATTTTTTAGAATATCAGTATCAGTCCGATGTGTAAAACTGGGCCGATATTAACATCCGATATTGATTTCCCACTTTGGTTGGTTGAGCGGCATGTGTTTGATCATGACAGTGATGTTGACGCTGCGTAGCCAGGAATAACTGAAGCAGAGAGCCATGTCAGAGTTCTGGTTGTTCATTTACAGTTTCAAGAAAAGACCCAAGTGTGTTTGTGTGCATATGTATGATATAATATACCGTATGTGTTTGTGTAATATCAGTAAATATCGGTTATCGGCCATAACAGCAAAAATTTGGCTGAAATTTTCATATCAGTGCATCCCTAATATCTACAAGTCAACCCGATTGAAGATGGCCATGACAGTTAATCAAGATATATGAGATCATGCAAGGTTTCACAATAAGGTTGCACATTTTTTCCAGCATTTGATCAAAATGGGTACAACCTTTTTGTTTCACAGCACAAGATGATCTAGRCTGCTTTTGTTTGCATATTTTTATTCAGGCACAGTTTGGGCAGCAAGTCTAAGTTGTTTTTGGTGTCTAGAATAAAAAAGGGGGGTGGGGTTGTTTTGAAAACATCACTCTCAAACATATTTGAATCGTCTTAAAGAGTTCAGACAAAACGCAGGATATAAAAGGCTCACATTCTTTATTTTTGTGTTTCTTTACTGTTTACTAAAAAAAATTTTAAACAGAGGTGTAAAGTAACCAAGTACAAATACTTTGTTAYTGTACTTAAGTAGAAATTTTGGTTATCTGTACTTTACTTGAGTAATTATATTTCAGCCTACTTTTTACTTCTTACATTTTTACACASTTATCTGTTCTTTCTACTCCTTACATTTTTTTAAAGGGTAAGAAGTAGAAAGTATAAAGTATATATAGAACGTATACATTTATATGAGAAGTATAAATATATACCATTCTGACACCGTATGAGTTTGTACACAATCCATCACAGCTGCACACCTTTAAAAATATATATTTTTGGAGAAGTTACCTCCCTGTCATTTTGGAAAATCTAACTGCTCACTTTTACTCAATACTTTTACTTTTAATACTTAAATACATTTTATGTCAGAAATTTACTTTTGATACTTAAGTACAAAATAAATCAGATACTTTAAGACTTTTACTCAAGTATTAATGTTAGAGGAGACTTTAAATTTTACCAAAGTAATTTTATGAAAAGATACTTGTACTTTTACTCAAGTATCAATTGAAAGTACTTTATACAACACTGGTTTTAAATAAAATGTTGGGCAACTGATTTAGAGCAGAAGTCTCCAGTTTCACATGTCTTCACGTGTCTACACATGTCGGGTGGGGGAGTGTTACTGGCATGGCATGATGACAGTTCCTGATTCCCCCTCAGCATGTTTGTCTTTTGTTTCAGCTGCACTCATCTGAGATGTTGTTTTTTATTCTTTGTTTTTTTTTAAGATTATGATCTCTTTCCCAATAGATTTACCTGATGGTCCACCAGTGGCTGACGCAGGCCCTGACCAGGTGGTTCAGCCTCAGGAAAGCGTKACATTGAATGGTATACAGAGCAGGGATGACAAGGGCATTGAAGATTATCAGTGGAAAATGCTCACAGATTATCCTTATGCTGTCATCGAGGTGAGAAATGCATCATTAATGCAAACTGGATTTTTTTTTCTAATATTTTATCTTCTGTGACCTAATAAAACTTGCGTTTTCCTTTGTCTTTTCATTGTTTTATGGTAGAAAACCAACTTTCCCGACCAGATAATTGTTTCCAATCTGACATCTGGGAAGTACAAGTTCCAGCTGACAGTGAGGGACACCGGGGGTCAGACAGACACCACCATGATCACAATCATGGTCCTCACTCCTGAGCAGTCCAAGCGTGAGTGTCTTCAACAACGTGAAGTCAGAGGGCGTAAATTATATTTTAGGAGTTGTCTAACATGGTTTAGTTAGTATCTTTAAGTGAATGAACCAACTCGAGGACATTCAGCAGGAAAGTATATTCTGGTTTCAGTGGTAATGAGTCATCATCCTCTGCGCTTTGCTGACTTACCTTTGGGCTCATGCCATTAACATTCTGTGTGTTTTATGTTGAAACTCTGTGGGTGCACTGGAATAATGTCCCGCTGTCTTTTATTTTTTGTAAACAGCATTTTTAATCTTCCTTAAAATTCCTCTTGGAAGGTATCTGTTTGTGTTTTGAACCTGAGATAAAGCAGCTTGAGGAATTTCTCTTAGGTTTAATGTGTGCTAAATGGTTGAATGGATTCCTTGTTAATTGAGTCAAACCAGTCACGGCACGCTTAACTGATTTAGCCTGTGATGACGAGGAAGCAAAGAAATATTACATAACATACAAATATTACACAATATAGTCTACAGGAAGGGGGAAATTGTGGGACGGGGACAGGAATTTGTCCATTCTTGTCTTTAGCATGAAACAAGTGTGTCTCAATGTCATTTCCGCTGAAGCACTTGTGTTCAAGGGATACCTGATTAGTTGTAACATTAGACTTTATTTGATAAACGTTTATTTTAACTGTAAAATAAAGACTGTAAAAATACTGTAGGGCATTTAGTTTTTATAATTTTTAAATTAAAAGTTTAAAAATATATTACACGGACGGAGCCATTTTATTTACACGCAAAGCATTCTGGGTAAATGATGACATGGATAGGACCTTGGTGTGAGGCTGCTAGCGAGCTGTATCCACCCTGAA